ATCTAAACGAGGCAGGATACGAGGTACAGATATGATCGCTTTCATGTGAGAAGTCATCCAGTGGCTCAGAAGATGCAGGTGACCTATAATCTGATCATGAACATCATCGCGGAGAAATACCCCGAAATGCACTACGACAGGTTGGAGATAGGTTTTCCCACCGTACGTCTTGATTTCATTGTCTACCCGCCTGTCTTCATGCACACTTGTCAGGTATTGGGCAAACGTCAAGGTAGAACAGGGCAATGCTGCGCTGGCCCAATGAATCAAACTCGTTTAGAGGAGGGACTTAGATTCGTAGTCTGTATGAAATGGATTCGTGCTGCGGTAGCTACGGAACACGAACAATGCGGTCGCTTTTACACCTGAGACAAGTCAGACATTCCGGAGCAGCCTCACATACCGGTGACACATGCCATCCACAACTCCAATAATCGCATAAGCGCTGTTGAATACGCCGGATGGCCAATGTGCGGGGTCTTGCCGAAACAAGAAGCCGGGATCAGAAGAAAAACCGTAGCATCGACGATCATGCCCCCAATTAGAACGGTGAACGCATCGAGCGGTGTGTAGTGGGATCAAATACACCGCATACCACACTGGAAGGAGGCGGACTGTGAACCGCGGTGGGATGCGTGACTGGAGGAAAACGCATTCGGACCGGTTCCAATCAAGATCATGGACATTGGTGGAGAAGGTACTGTGCGTCCGTGAAGATGAAGGGAGAAGACTCAGCGGGGTTCAATTATCGCATGTAATCAAGCGTACTGAATCTGGATGGCGAAGCAGAGTATAACGAAGAGTGGAACAAGACATGTATGAAACCTACCACAAAACCACTTCTGAGGACCTCCCACCTGGAAAATCGATGTACGCATTATTGGTGACTAAGCAGGCAAGACTTATGTAACACATGTACTTACATAAGCAGGATCGTTCGCGTGCCAGCTCAAAAGAGGCACGTGACAGATATCAACTTAAGCCAAAGGAGCCCAAACAAGTGCGCCTTCAACCAGAACGACACGGTATCGGTCTCGAAGACGCGTCTCTCGTATATATTTCTTGTTTTTTTCAGACATCTTGAAGCGTTATTTGACTTGGATACATATATTCTGGTGAGTTGTCAGGGGAGCCGACCTAAAGAAGCGCGTTGCTTACCCCGTTTTGGCAAGGGGCCGTAATTATTGGACCCACAATTGTCCACAACACAGTTCACCTGCCTTTCTCGTTCAATACCCGTGAGACTATTTCCAAGTCCCATTGCCTTGAACCTTTCCGCTGGTGGACTTCTAAAAAGCTAACCCTGTCCACTCTTCGCTCTCAGGCGCGGCCTCCTCCGTCGTACACTCATTACCTTCGAGGTGAGACCGTATTCATATATGTGTGCTCAATGGTGGACCACGGTGGTCGCAAGTTCACCCGACAGCCACGAGGTGTCAAGGCCGTGTTGGGTGAACAATGGCTACCTCTCTCTCCTTACACCAAGCTCCCTTTGTTCAGCCCCTGAATATGCTGCTGATCATATCGTTCATCTAGTCGTCACATTGCCATTTGCCTTTATAGTCATACCGGTCACGACCAAGCTTGCTTCCGGTCACGTTCCGGTCGGTATTTCTTCCATCGTTTGTTCCACTTCATGTTCTTAAACCAGGACGTCTGACTGTTTCCTTTTCTTCCGGACACCGTCGCGTCGATTCGTGCAACACTCACCACTCTGTGCACCACCTGCCATCCGCGCTGACTTATTCCCTCAATTATTGACGCGTATAACACCTACGACACGTTCAACGATGCCCGACGCCTTCATGAAACGACTCACAGAATATCATTCCAACAAGAGATTCCAAAAAAACAGCTACGGAGAGTATACGCACTCATCTCACGGCATGACTTTTTTCTCTACGCTCTCTTCGGCCTCTTCCCAATATCTCGGTGCCCCTCTCGCACCCTCACGTAAACGCAGTCAGCAAATGAAAGTCCGTGACGACGTTGATGAATTTGTGTCCTCTGATCTCGAGTTATCGTTCGCCTCTACCATGTCCCTCAACTCCTCTCGCGATTACGTCGACGTCGGACACGGGGAACCCATGGACATTTCCCCCGCACCACTCAAAGCCATCAGCAAGGAAAACGAGCGAAGTAGTAGACCGATGACGCGTCCACGCGCTTCTACTAGCGCAGCTCGTATGTTTGGACAAGACATGAGCAACAACAGTCTGAATGACTCCGCGTCGTTGAACTCGAAGACTGGCACTAATTCAGGGGCAAAGCGCACACAGCGCAGTGCTTTACCGTTCGAGTGGCTTGCCTCCACCCAGCCCCTAAAGGCCACTAAGACGATGGATGACATTATGTCCACTACAAGTAAGTCCCAAATATTTCAATGTCAACCGATCACCGGAACATTTGTGCCGACTCTCCTTAGCCTCCCTCGGTATCTGTTTCTCTTGCATCAGACGATGCGATGGACGTAGACTCGGTGCCTGCCGTGGAACTGTTGCCGTCCCCGCCGATATCAGCGGCCTCAACGGTCGTGAGATTTGACAACTTGTTTTACACTAATATGTCACCTTTACCTTCTGACGAGACGCAGTCCAAGAAGAGGCGTTCCTTGTCTCCCTGAGGCGGTCAGTCGTGCGGAACCTTCGTCTTCCCCTCCATCCTCGCCCTCCGAACACAAATTCGAACGGATCAGCAATGGGTCTATGTCTACCAATTTTACTAAACCGGGTTTGCAAGGTCTCGGTGTTCCGTCGCTTGCCAACAAAAGACTTCGCAGACCTGTTTTCTCTGCTATCGAAGTTCCTACTGAGAGTGGCGGCACACCAGAGTGTCGTGCGGGCCATTCCGATGGCGGTCCCAGACAGAGCCTTCCGCTTGCTCCGCCCCTTACTCGGCGTGCCGTTTCCGCAATGCTCCCACCGACTTGCTTAGACCATCTCTCCGATGAATCATCTTTTGATGGACCTGACATGTCGTCACCTGCCCAGGCCTACGCGAACCGTCAGCAGGTCAAGACCATTCGTCGGCGAGACGGTACCGAAGATTTTAGGCCCTTAACCGGTATGTCGCCCGTCGCACAAGTGATCAGTGCCGAAAGCCCCTCTGCGAAATTTATGCGTGCTGGTATACCTGGTTTCGGTGATAACGAGACGATGGGGAAGATCTTGCCATGCCACCGCGTGCGTGAGGATGGTCTCATGCGCATTGTACCGCGCACGGTAGGCTTCGATGCTTTCACATTATGTTTTATACTAAGATATTCTGCTCTCCCTCAAGTTGGATGCACTTTTAGATGGCGCCTTCGATAACCAAATCGAGCGGTTTTTCGTTATCGATTGCCGCTTTGACTACGAGTATGGTGGAGGACACATCCCCGGCGCCATCAACATTAACACTACACAAGGTGTCGAGGAATTCCTCCTCGGCGCTGGCAAGCCGAAACCATGTATTAGCGGGGACGCGTCTAAGAAAACTGTCCTCGTTTTCCACTGCGAGTTTAGTGCGAAGAGGGCTCCGACGTTGTAAGCAATTGGCTTTTTTGGCGTCTGCTCGAGCTGGAACCAAATTATTGCAGTGCCAAACATCTCCGTTCTCACGACCGAGCGATGAATAACCACTTGTACCCGAAGATTCACTACCCGGAAGTTTACATTCTGGAGGGGGGTTACTGCGAATATTACAAACAATCGGGCGAACGATGCCAACCACAGGGATACGTGACAATGGACGATCCGAACCACGCGCACTCACGTAGAGAAGATCTAGACCAGTTCCGTAAGGTTAAGTTTGGCCGCACCAAATCTTACGCATACGGAGATCTGGGCTCGAAACTCGCGGCTATTCGCCCAACAACAGCAGGTGAAACGCAACACGGCCCCCGCCGCTGGCTTCTACGCAGTTGTATGCCGCTGCCAGTGCTGCTCGCACCCGTCGCAATGGTCTCTCGACTTTGGCTGAGATTGGGAACATCACGCAGACCGACGACGAGGAGACGGATATTGGAGACAGTCCTTGCCCACCTCCCAACAAGGCTGGCCAGATGAAAGCGAAAAGATTGGGACGAGCACCTATCGCCCGCGCTGAAACCTTTGACGCCTCGCGCCTGGCTGTACACTGACGATATCGTTGTTTCGCATTTGTGTGCTTTGCCAATTGCGGTTTTTTTTCAAGTACTTGCTGTCGATCAGAAGTCTTTTTTTTAATTCAACCTTGTCGTTCAGTCGCTGGAGCGAGCTTTTCACCGTTGTCATTCAAAGCCGTCGACCGTTTGTCTTTTCGTCTGTGCGATCTTCGCTGTGCGCGCAACAATCAGGTTCAAGATCTGCCCACGTTCCGTCACGCCCGCTACGCTCGTTTTCGAAGATGTCATTGCGATGCTGAGCATGCTCCCTTGAATTGCCCGTTGGGAATGAAACCCACAAATATGCCAATGTCTCTCGAGTCGTCTTGAGACGATGCCTTCCGTCCCACTGCCATTCCCCCGCCACTTACTCAACTGGATCCTCCACCTTCTTTTATAACTTCGCTGAGGGACCTCGGCATGTCATCTCACCTTTTCCCTCTCATCATCTTTGATCATATATGCTGCAATGGACGGTTTCCCTGCAACCGCCTATCGTCTACATGTTCATCTTTTCGTTTAAATTTACAATGCATTTGCGACAACCTATCAGCTATTTATGTCCACTTGCGTTAGCCTTTTTCCCTCTCCCCCTCTTCCCTGTGTGCAGCTCATCTTTCTCCCACCATGAGTACTTTTCACATCGCACAGGACCTGGACTTTTTGCGACTCCATTTCTTTTTTTACAAGTTGTAGAACACTCGCTGGGCTACGACACTTGTGTTTGATACCTTTTCACAATATCACGAGACGTATGTTTACTCTCGCCTTGTGAAGTCGAGTTGAGTGTGAGTGACATTTTGGGTCTTCAAACAAGTCCAAGTTACTGCTTGTGTCGGTAGGACTATGTCTTTTTTTTTTTTTTTTCAAAAAGTAACTCGGATACGGGGAATCGAACCCCGAGCTGCCGCGTTTTGAACGTATCCCTCACAGGTGAGAGGCGGCAATGTTAGCCATTACACCATATCCGACATGCAAATGTACTCCGAAGAATCATCTAGTACTACTAGTAGGAGGTTCACTGGAAATTATGACGGCAGCTCCAACGCTTGAGTAGAACTCTCAGTCGATGTGTTCTGAAGTCGGATATGGTGTAATGGCTAACATTGCCGCCTCTCACCGTGAGGGATACGTTCAAAACGCGGCAGCTCGGGGTTCGATTCCCCGTATCCGAGTTACTTTCTTTTTTGGCTGTTTCTCCCCCTCATACTTGTCGCATAAGGTCGGAAGTCTGTAGTCGACGAACGTCTCTATCAATTTTTGTCTGCATTCCGTGTACTTAGCTTTACGCCAGGTCGTTCCACGACGACCGGGGAGACTGACGATATCCAAGGCCAGACTACGACGGCGCAGTGGGTCACAAGGTCTACCGTATTCGGCGGTACAAAAGCTCCGGAAGCAAATGATTTCTCGAGTCTCAGACGTGGAAAGACCACAAGGGCACCTATCAGTTTCACTCCGGCAGAATTTTTAAAAAATGTCAGTACCACACTTGCACAGTCGACAGGGGTTTACCGGCCCACAGGTTGGCTAGTCGAAGGATTTCAAAAAGTACCTTTTTTTTAGTAACGTACCGTTCGTCGTACGCTGTGACGACTTTTTTGTTCCGCATACAGCATCGCGAAAGAGCTTGAAGGATGGGATGGGGTGGGATGGGATTGGCTACGCTACATAGTGAGACGGAGTGGCGTATGCTCACCGTCCAAGCTTCGTATGTTCATCAAATCGCAATACGGAGGTTGTATCGAGGTCGACGCCACTTGAAACACGCGGATATTATAGCCCCTGGCAGATTTTCTGCATTCTAGATGTACAGTTCCAGAAAAATTGACCAAGGTGTTAGTGGGTGATCATGACATGGAGGAAGAGGTGTCACGTGATCGCCGACATTTTCGTACAGCACTCGATCGGTCCTCGGACTTGGTCAATTATACTCATACGCCAATGGCGGGCGAACAAGTAGGTGCAATTGCCTCCTCCCCTTCAGGATCTGTCTGTTTTCATCGACACACAGCCAGAACTATTGGCCCATGAAAGCAGCGAGTTGCAAGAGCTTGCACTCCGAGCGGCAAAATACTGTATTTGACTGGGGTAAGCACTTTCAGCACATACCGTCTATCCGTCGCGCGACGCCAGACCTCTGATACAAAAGGTGCGGTACAGCTGTACAAACTGAATCTGCATCCTTGGCCACATGTGGAGTCCCTCCTCAATACCCTAACGGATGTCGAACCACCCCAGACACGTTCCGCTGCCAAACGGAAAAGCAGTCATACCCTTCCTGATGAACCTCGGAAGAAAAAGAACAAAGTACCCCCACTAGAAACGCCAATACCGTCTCTAGTTCGTTGACAGAATGTCGATGGAACAGATATGGGAGCAGTTGGATCTGAGAGGGGCCAGGGTTTGCGAACATCTGCAGATCCTGGAAGGAACTGGGGAGGACGAAGGTGAAAACGAAGATGAGCAAAGTGAGTTTGAGGAGGAAGAAAGCGATGATGAAGAAGAGGATTCGGAACTGGAAGAGTCGGAAGACGACGATGAAGAGGACGACAGTTCACTGCCAGGCGAGGAGGACGTCACCGCACTTCAGGAAGAGTCTTCGGACGACGAGGAGGATGAAGAAGACGACCGGCCGTCTTCAATGCTTGACGTCATCCGCCAAAAGCCTACCGCGTCGAAGACAGGCACACATCCCGAGCTGGACGACGGCTTCTTCAATCTCCAAGAGTTTAACGCAGAAATAGAACAAGCAGAGGACAAAATCTGTTTCAAAAGGGCGATTGCATCGTGATACAGACTCAGAAGACTCAGGTACTGAGACAGATGTTGACTTGTTCGACGCAGTGGACGAAGCTGTAGACGAGGAGGAGGACCTGGAAGAAAGTACGTATTGTGCAGAATCAATGCCCGGCTGCGCTGACAAGTGGGTCAGACTACTTCTACAGGGACTTCTTCGATGCTCCGAGATCATCCAAGTCACGTCGAACAACAGGCACACCCAAACCATCGAAGGTCCGGTTCCACGATGAAGTCAAGGTCAAGAAAATAAAAGCAAGAGGGAAGGGACTTCCCGTGTCAGCTATGATGTATGAGGAAGACGACGAAGATGACGAAGAATTTGTAGTGGAGGATGACGATTCTGATGACCAAGAAATGTTTAAGGAATCATCAGATGACGACGAAGAAGAGGATGAGGAAGGAGATGAGGATGAGGATGAGGAGGAAGACGAAGGGGACGAGGAAGAAGGAGAGGTTGCGGGAACAGAGGATGGTACGAGATTAGCTATCGAGAGAATGAAGGACGACCTCTTCGCGGAGGACGAAGAGCAGCAGAAGGGTGAGTGTACGACACGCAAGTCCTACCGACCACGCTCATTCATTTGCACAGACTCAGACATGACTACCCACGAGCGTCGAATGGCTGCGCTTCAGGAACAAATTAAGCAGCTCGAGGCCGAGAACGTATCTAAAAAAGACTGGGTGCTTATGGGAGAGGCATCTTCCAAGAGCCGCCCACGCGACTCGCTGCTCCAGGAAGACCTGGAATTCGACCGAATAGCTAAATCCGTGCCCATCGTCACCGAAGAGGTGGTGGCGGGGCTCGAAGAACGCATCAAGGCACGCATTAAAGATGGTCGTTTCGACGATGTCGTTCGCCGACGGCCTTTGGACGATAAACCGTTCTTACCATCTCGCTTGTTCGAGCTGCAAGATACGAAGTCCCAACAGTCGCTGGCTCAGATTTATGAAAATGAGTATATAGCGGCTCAAGCAGGTGGTTCAACCGACAACCGGGACGCAAAACTGAAGAAGGAACACTGAGGCAATCACTAAGCTGTGGGAGGGTATATGTAACAAGCTCGACGCCTTGTGCAATGCACACTACGTTCCCAAGCAGGTACGAAATGCCGTCAAAATTCTTCAGCTAGTTGGCTAACCGATCCTATTCCTTTCTTTCCTTTTTGCAACTAGCCTAAGGCAACGATAACCACTGTATCTGACGTCGCTGCTGCGACTTTGGAGTCTGCCCTACCTACCAACAAGTCCGTGTCGAGCACGCTCGCTCCCGAGGAGATATTTGCGCCCGCCTCGTCAGATCCTCGCGTACGGAGCGAACTCACGCCGGCTGAGAAGCGTGCGCTGCGAACGAAACAACGCAAGGCGAGGAAGAAGGAACGTGACCTGCTCGAGAAGAGCTGTCGACAAGTTCGCCAAGAAGAAGGGGGTAAAAGAGCAGAAAGATGCGGCGTTGAAAAGTCTGGTCAAGTCTGGGAAGGGCGTCACCGTAGTTGGGAAGGAAGCTAAGAAGGCGAAGATGGCTAGCAAGCGCAAGTCATGATGAGGGGGAACTTTGATATTATTCTGCGAGATCTAGCTAGCTTATGACGTGTCCGAAATAGCGAAAACACTTCGCGCCTCTCTCCTTTCTTGTTGGGTTACGACGGGTAGGAGGGTCAGTTCTGCGGCCTATTCCACACTCGTGCTCGCGATCGGACTGGACGAGAAGTTGTTGAGACGGTTGAACGAGCCGGACGATGCGAAAGCGGCGTCAACCAGAAGAAGGGGGACCGATGCGAAGTGGAAGCTTGACCCTAAGGACGTGCTAGCTAATGTGTTAGAGACGTTGGCACAGGTCCGATGAGGTGATGGCGTTTCTACCCTGGCACTCGTTTTTTGTTTTGGATTCTGTTTTTGTTCCATCCTGCAACGAATTTTCTATGGTGTTACATATACGGATTTTGGGTTACACCACGCACGATATTGCTTGTGGTGGACTGATACATACACGGTTGTAGAATATAGATGTCTGCTATCTGACAGAATGCCGAAACTGGGATCCCCACTACCGCACTCCCTGAAGGTAGAGGCCCGGTCTGCCAAGTCGAGGGCATCTTCATCCATATCGGCGACGCGTGAGTGATATTCAAAACAGAGTGGAGGGACTAAAAGACACTGCCGATCATACCTGCTCAACATTAGCTGCCGACGAGCAGCTAGTTGGCCAAAAGGGTAATTTGATCTTGATTGTTGCTTCGAGTCTAAGAACACGGCCCCTGAGGCAGTACACACGCCTGACCCGCGGCTTCGTTGCTGTGGCTTGATAATACGATAATACAGGGCTGCGCTGAGGGCTGAGGGCTTGCGACAGCAGTGCGAGGTTGGACGACTTGCGGTGACGGCACAGCGTAAGGACTCTCTCAGCGCTACTCGGTATTTCCTGACGAATATTAGGTCTGTTTATTCGAAGCAGAGAAGAAGGTCCTCTATCATGGCTCTTTATACGGTAGAGATGAGGCACTGGAGCGTTACAATCGAGTGAGAAAAGTATCAATTGAAGGGAGAAGATAACGAACCGAACACAGCTGTCACCGCGTCTACACGCATCTGATATCATCCGGCCTGTCCACGTCGGGTCGAATTGCTACAGGCCTGGTGTACCTTCCGTAAAACCAACAACCTGCTGTGCACCTGTACATATATATCACTTTTGGTTCGAGCCCTCCATTACTCTTCACCAGAAGATAAACTCACCATCTGAAGAACTACCCCTGCAGTCTCAGATAACTAAGGAGTGCGTGCAATATCCTATTGGTTGATTTATCGTTGACTGCGGGTGCCTTTCTGATCACCTCTTCAATTAGAAGATGCGGCTGTTGGATGTAAGAGCTGTTCTTGATCGGGAAAAGGATATCCAAACTGTCAATCCCGACATCGAGGTCCTGAAGGAACTCGATGACAAGAGTACGCGTTATGTCATACTCTCGCATCGCTGGGGGAGCGAGGTCAATTACGATGAGATGACCTGGGCTCACCGCGATGAAGCCACGAAAGAGAGGACGACGTCAGGGACCGTGACGATTACCAGGAAGATCATCAAGAGTTGTGAACAGGCCGAGAAGGACGGTCACAGGTGGTTATGGATCGATACGACAAGCGAAGTAGCTCGGAGCTCACGGAGGCGATCGAT